GAGAGAGACTCTAACAGAAACAAACCTTACACATGCTCTTAAATCAGCCTTAATCCAAATCTGTTGATGTAGATACTTTGAGTAATATAGGAGCATGGAGCACATTTGAGGAAAACATAAATGAAAACTGCTTTCCTTGTGACACCTTCTCCTTCAGGAGATATGCTGTTCATTTTATAGGCACTATTTTCTTTATTATCTGAGAAATGGTTCTTACAGAATCAGCAACTATAAAATTATATATGATATCAGAAGATAATGCCAGGGTATATATGTAGAACAATGTATCTGTGACAGCTATCAACTTATTGCCTCTCAGCTCCAGGTTAACCCTTCAATCAAGTGTCTGTGGTCATGGGCAGGGTCCCTTTAAGTATCTCTCCTTTACAGTCAGCACAATGTTAAGCTCTCTCCATAGGGGGCGCTGTTGGGGCCATTTGTGGCTGCTGCCTGGTGGGTCAGTGGTATGGGCGTGAGGACATCTAATGGAGTTCTGCTCCAACCACTGCCTACAAGGTGGTGCCTTGGGACCCTGGAGCCTTATTCTGGCCATAACCACCTTCTGGGCCTGTGGATTACAAACTTGAGTCCTGAAAGATTCTTGCTGTATTAGTGCCCGGAAGGCCTACCGCCAACACCGGCTCCTCACTCTCTACAGATCCTGTGTGGATTACCTGCCACCTGGAGGGTTCCCACTGAGCAGCCATGCCTGCGGCAGGCCCCCACTCTCTACACAGCCAGGCCGTTGGTTGCTGGTGGACTGCCCCTGCCTGCATTCTAGAGGTTTGCTTGCTATGTGCTCAGGGACTGCAGACCAGTTCCAGCCTGGGCAAAACAGCTAAGTTCCCTGCTGTGTGGGTTGAGTTCAGTGTTCCAAGGAGGTCTGAACCTCAGGCTTGGGATCTTTCCCAGTTTGTCTTTCCTTGAGTACTCTTCCTTAGCTCTAGGGTACCACAGAGAATTTCCTCATGTCCTATAGTCACTCATTAATTAGAATTTAATAACTTTAAATATATTAAATTTCCCCTGTTCAACCCACTGTAAAGCAATAGCAATACTGATGTTTTAGCAAGAAATACAGCTGCCTTTCCACTTAGAGGAGAATTTATAGAATGAAGTAGGAATAAATGAGCCAGCCTAATTTTGATTTTAGAGTTTTGAAATTGGGTGACAGCTGCTTTCCTTTCTCAAAGGAAATGAATACAGTCTTGTTTCATTAGCTAGATTGTCAAATCCATGCCAGGAGAGGTTCTAAGTCACGTAGCCTGACATTTGTGTTGAAGCAACAGGAATCTGATTCCCACTGAATCAGTAAAGTTCCCACTGAAAAGGCCAGTTGATTAATTTCAGTCAGGGCAGAACTTAAAATTGCTGGCAATGTGTGATGAAACTGATTCCTTTTGAGGAAAAATAATTAGTGCAATTAAATCAGAATAAGTGCATACTTTGTTTAAAACAGATCTAAGGAAGAATGAACAGGGGAAAAAAAAACATCTGTATCACAACCTTGGGGATTATATAAAAGTAGACAGTATAAACATAATATTATAGCTAATAGAATAAATATGACAGGGCTTTCAACTTCTGAGCTTATTTTTATTTTTAAATTTAACTTCAATTTCTCTATTTTTTAAATTTTAAAAATTATTCAATTCATGCTAGTCTTATTGTGATCATAACAGTAGGAACTATACAGATGATTGGCAGTGGCTCTCAAATGTGTAAATACATCAGAATAACATGGGAAACTTGCTGAAATGCAGATTCCAGCAGACTTGGTTATCTCATAGCAAATGGTATTTTTAACAAGCATTCCAGGGATTCTGATGCAGATTGTTATCTTGACCACACTTTGAGAAATAATGATTTAGTTTCTGAATGAGCTCCCACTAAGAAATGTGAAATTTTATTTAGAAATAAGACAACTGTTTACATGTCCGTTTCTGATATTAAAATGGTCTTTATCATTTTATCCTATGCATCCCAAAGAGTTAGGGAGTAAGAAATAGTTTGTCCCCAATAATCTATTCCTGTGTAGAAAAGTCCCTTCACGTTCACCTGACCACTTTACACCATATAGGAAATGAAGTTATTTTTGGCTGTAGTTCTTCCTTTTTCTAATAGTAAGGTGAATAAAACTCATGTTGTTCTAAAAGGAAAATAACTCCATCCTAACAATGAAGCCAGCGCTATCATGGACAATTAAACTGAAGAGAAGTAAATTTGGAATCATATATGAATAAAAAGCCAACATTTCCCTAGGTATCCAGAGACCTAGTATCTTAATAAGAGATGCCTGAGTAACATACAAGTTTAAAGGCAGAGCCTAAAGCATATATTTGCCATTTAAACTCATGATTTTAGATGAGATATGAACAACAGAGGAATTGGAAAACTGGGTTTTCCCAGGCTGTTTCTCCTTTATAGCTCCCTCAAAGGATCTCAGTTAAGCCCACACTCCTCAGCTCAAAAGACAGCCACTGATTCTTAGGCGTGGACCGAAACCTGCTAATCGTCTAGTCTGGAAACCAGCTGTGCAAAACAAACCTTAAAATGTTCCCCTAGAGCAAAGGAAAATATGTTTGGTTTCGACAGCTCGGGCACTTTCACTGTGGATCCTCCCTTCATTGTTTGGGGTTAAGTGGCCACCACAAGAAACAAAACAGCATGAGAAATGGCTGAGTCAACCAACACTTAGCGACATGCCCAGGAACTTCTCAAATGGCCCAGGAAGTGGAGGCCTCCGGATTCTTTTTGCAGGATGTTGTCCTTTCCTGGAATTTTGCAGGTGGCTGCAGTACCTACATTTGGAGTATTGCAAGATTATCTCATCTGACTTCTGACTGGAAGGTTATCTCCAAAATGATCACAACCACACAGACAATTATTAACTGTGAGCAAACATTCTCAGCGACCTCACATGTGTCCCGAAATCCTGACCAACAACATGCTCCTGACTGTATTTGTGGTCTTGACAGAAGACATCGTTGGGAGAAAGGGTGGTTTCTACTGTAAATGAGTTTTTTTAAATAGAGAAGAATGCAAAATGGGAAAGGGGTAAATACATAGATTTCTAGCTAAAAGCATTTAAAAGGAAACTTAGCAAATTTGGTTAGTGATTTCTTTATAAAGCACAGAGGTCAAGTCCTATTACAATAAGTATCACATCCACCTAAAAATCAGATTTCAGAGTCTCACTTGGTACCTTATTCACTTCACATATCAGAACAATGTTTCCATGTAGTGAAAGAATGGATCCAATCCTAGGAGTGTCTCAAGCTTTCAGATGTTTGTGGCATGCCAAGCAGCATTGCTTTTTTCTCTGCTGTGGGAGTCACTTACTTTTACGTCTATAACTTAGAAAAGTGGCTGGGTGCAGTGGCTTATGCCTGTAATCCCAGCACTTCCGGGGCCGAAGTGGGAGGATCTCTTGAGCCCAGGAGTTTGAAACCAGCCTGGGCAACATAGGGAGACCCCTATCGCTATAAAAAATCAAAAAATTAGCCAGGCATAGTGGTGCACACCTGTGGTCCCAGCTACTCAGGAGGCTGACATGGGAGGATGGCTTGAGCCTCAGAGGTTGAGACCGCAATGAGCTGTGATTGCACCGCGGCACTCCAGCCTGGGCAACACGATAAGACCCTTTCTTAGGAAAATAAGTTATGGAGAAAGACTGAATATATAAAATGTTTCCCAGTCAAATCCTGAAGAATGGTCATCTTGAAGAGCGTTGGGAACTGGGAGCCCCCTGGATTCCTCTGAGGAATTTCACTAAGAAGAGCTGTAGATGTTTGCTGGCTAGCTTCCTCCGGGCTTGGTTTGTGAGGGCTCATTCAGTATCAGAAAGACACACAGGTAGTTACTGGCAGAGTTAATTTTGGGCTCCCATGTTGGCCTAAGTCTGATGATCATGCAGTGTGGCTAATGAATGCTGTCACTGGTTCTACTGCTTCCCTGGGATATGCGACTTCTGAATGAAAACATGGGACCCTGGAAACCAAGGTCCTGTCTTATTTGTATCAGTGGAGTCATGTAGTACATAAACTCCAAAGAATAAAGCAGTACCTTTGGTTGACTGTGTACAGGAAATTTCTGGATGGCCATTTGGCTCTAAGTTAATCAAAAGACATCTCTATTGGCAACCCAAAGTACAATTTTGATATTCTTACCTAGGAGATAAAACTTCATTAAATAATTAACATGTACTAAGGGGGAAAAGGGATATTTGTTTCTCTTATCTTTTTTTTAACTTCAAAATTTTACTCCCCCAGTATTCTATGACCAGCTGCTATGAAACTCGTCAGCCAAAATCAACAAAGGTGGCCACCAGCCACAGATCAAACATATGAAATAGCAAATCTACCTGAAGCACAGCCTGGGATGTACCACTTGCTTAAAGCATTAGGCTACTGCCATCTCCAGCAACCGTAAACATAGCCTGGCTGCCAGCCCATAACCTCCTCATCCTTCCAGTTTGTTTTTATAGGTTTACAACTGGGATTACAAAGTAACTTCTGAGATGTTATTATTGAAACATGATAAAGCAAAATCAGTCTTCAGAGGTTAAGGAGGGAGTTTTTAATCAAAGTGTGGTTGACAGGCGTGATATTTTAGGAGGACATTTTTTTTTTTTTTAAAGCATCATTAAAAAACAGCCTCAATAAACAGGCCGTATTTAGCCCAAAACTTGTTCAGGAGAACAGCATGGGTTCCGTTTTGAATTGGCTTGGATTCTGGACTTCCTATTACATAGGTCTGAGAGTTGTTGTCTTTGTTAATAAAATTTAGCTTTGTTTCCCCTCCAGTGATAGTGACATGAAGCACTAGGAAATGATGCAGTAACCGCAGTGCACGAGGCCTTCCTCCTGGGGAAGGTGTGACACAGGAGAAGAGCCGGGGAGGACTCCCCCATACTAAGTCCAGTGAAGTGCAGAATGCCTGCTCATGTTTGTAAAAATAAGACAAGTCAGGAATGCAAGAAAAAAAGTCTTCACGCTCAATGTGACTATCTTTGGAATTCATTTCATTAAGGTTTTCACAAAATACAAAGCTCAAACGTAATTACCTACGTCCACCACAAAACAGAATCAAATAAGTGGTTAGCACAACAAACAATGATCGTTTCCATTTTAAAAAATATAAATAACAATGTTCAAGGTTTTACAATGTCTTCTTAGTGTGTGTCTTTTTAAGGCTTTATGTTGCAGACCCTTCATTAATGGTACTCGTACCCTGCCATCAGGATACACTGCCCACCAGCAAGGAAGGCCACTGTGGATACATTCCTGAGGGGGACACACACGGATCCATGTTGCCTCAGCCTGTTAAAAACTAAATGATCAAACACCCTCCAATCAGATCTGTTTCATTAACTTACTTTCTACTACAAAGTAATAATAGAAAAGGGGTATGTGTCCAGCAGCATTCGAGCTCTCAGAAGATCAATCAGGAAGGGCAAGAAGGAAAAAACAGGCTTCCTCTTGGAGAGAATTTTTTTCCTTTCATCCACAACAAACACCAACAACCCAGATAGTTCAAACAGTGGTTTGTACTGAAACATTTTTCAGATTAAATAGTGTTGATAGAAACAGTCATCTTTTGGTTGGGTATTTTAGAAGAGGTTAAAGTGGAGAGGTTAATGTTGGGAAAATACCACCGAAAGTACAGCCCCCGGTAGGAGTGGGCTCACTTGTGAGGTCTGGGGGCAGAGCCAGGGCCCCAGCCTTGGGAATGAAATCCGAGGGCAGGCTCTCCAGCAGACACTTGACCTGCTCCTGGCCCAGCTTGATCTTGTCGTCCAGCTTCCGCTGCTCGATGAGGAGTGTGGACTTCATTTTCACAAAGTGCTGGTAGTCCTGGAGCTGCTCCTCAGAAAGGTAATTGGCCAGGATGCCCAGCACCACCCGCTCCCTGCGATCCAGGTTCTCCTTCAGCTCCCGGGCGTCCTCGTGCTGCCCAGCCAGGATCTTCCTTTTCTCACAGAGAGAGCTCTGCCAGAGCAAATTGGACAGATCAACAAAGGCCAGGGGAAAGGAGAAAAGAGCCAGACTCCCTGCAAGGACACCTCTGACAGGACTGGGAAATATCTACACTCTATTCCTATTGTCACTGTAAGGAGGCTAACTTTTTGAAAATCGGCTTATTATCTTTATATTGCATATTGCAGCATTCTCTAATTTGTAGTGTCATAGGGTAGCTTCAATTTGAGAGGTGTTACTTTAAATTGGTTAGGAATAAATGGTTTTTTAAGTCTAGAATCCAAAAGCAAATCATCAGCTGGGCATGGTGACTTTGGGAGGCCAAGACGGGTGGATCACTTGAGGCCAGGAGTTCAAAACCATCCTGACCAACATGAGGAAACCCTGTCTCTACTAAAAATACAAAAGTTAGCTGAGTGTGGTCATGCATGCCTGTAATACAAGCTCCTCAAGAGACTGAGGCATGAAAATCACTTGAACCCGGGAGGCGGAGGTTGCAGTAAGCGGAGACTGTGCCACTGCACTCCAGCTTGGGTGACAGAGTGAGACTCTGTCTCAAAAATAATCATCAAGGTACCTTGAGTACTACACTAATACGGTAGTTCTCAAGGTGTGGTTGCTGGACCAGCAGCAGTGGCATCACCCAAAATGCAAGGGTTCGGGCCCTCTTTCACCTCCTGAATCAAAAACTCTGGAGGTGAGGCCCAGAAACCTGTTTTAACAAGCCTTCAAGATGATTCTTTTGTGGCTAAAGTTTGAGAACCTCTCCCTAATCCGTAATAACAAGGGGATCATCATATTTCCCATCTCCAGAGAAGTCAGTTTCCATTTTTTCAGTTCTCTTTTGCAGGCCTCTGAATCTAAAATGAGAGAAATTCTGTTCAACAATGATGGCAATGTTATGTTCTAAGAGTTTCTTACACTTTTCTATGATATTGTAGCATATATTTACTTTAATGTGGTTTTCTATCCAACCTGGTAACACATATCATTTTTAAATTAAAAAAATATATATATACTTAACCATTCACACTTTTTAGGCAAAGTAAGGAGACAAACCCACAGCCAACATTATATTGAACAGGGAAAAGATGAAAGCATTCCCCGAGAACTGAAATAGGACAAGGATGCCCACTTCCACCACTGCTATTTAACACCATACTAGAAGTTCTAGCCAGAGCAATCAGACAAGAGAAAGAAAGGGCATCCAAATCGGTAAAGAGGGAGTCAAACTGCTGCTGTTTGCCGATGATATGATCCTATACCTAGAAAACCCTAAAGACTCATCCAAAAAGCTCCTAGATCTGATAAATGAATTCAGTGAAGTCTCATGATACAAAATCAATGTACAAAAATCAGTAGCACTGCTATACACCAACAGCAATCAAGCTGAGAATCAAATCAAGAACTCAACCACTTTTACAATAGCTGCAAACAAAACAAAACAAAACTTAGGAATATACCTTGAGGAGGTTAAAGACCTCCACAAGGAAAACTACAAAACACTGCTCAAATAAATCACAGGTGACACACACAAATGGAAACATACTGTGCTCATGGATGGGTAGAATCAATGTTATGAAAATGACCACACTGCCAAAAGAAATCTACAAATTTGATGCAATTCCCATTAAAATAACACCATCATTCTTCACAGAACTAGAAAAAACAATCCTAAAATTCATCTGGAACCAAAAAAGAGCCTGCATAGCCAAGGCAAGACTAAGCAAAAAGAACAAATCTGGAGGCATCACATTACCAAACTTCAAACTATACTACAAAGCCATAGTCACCAAAACAGCATGAAACTAGTATAAAAACAGGCATGTAGACCAATGGAACACAATAGAGAACCCAGAAATAAAGCCAAAGACTTACTGCCAACTGATCTTCGACAAAGCAAACAAAAACCAAATGGGGAAAGGGTACCCTATTCAATAAATGGTGCTGAGATAATTGGCAAGCCACGTTTAGAAGAATGAAACTGGATCTTTGTCTCTCACCTTATATAAATATCAACTCAAGATGGATCAAGGACTGAAATCTAAGACCTGAAACTATTAAAATTCTAGAAGATTAACATCAGAAAAACACTTCTAGACATTGGCTTTGGCAAAGAGTTCATAACTAAGAATCCAAAAGTGAATGTGACAAAAACCAAAGATAAATGGATGGGACTTAATTAAACTGAAGAGCTTTTGTACAGCAAAATAAAAACAGCAGAGTAAACAGACAATCCACAGAGTGGGAGAAAATCTTTGTAAACTATGTATTCAACAAAGAACTAATATCCAGAATCTATAAATAAATCAGCAAGAGAAAAGCACTCCCATCAAAAAGTGGGCAAAGGACATGAATAGACAATTCTCAAAAGAAGATGGACAAATGGCCAACAAACATGGAAAAACTGCTTAACATCTCTATTAGGGAAATGCAAATCAAAACCACAATGCAATGCCACCTTACTCCTGCAAGAATGGCCATAATCAAAAAATAATTTGGCATGGATGTGATAGAAAGGGAACACTCTTACACTGCTGGTAGAAATGTAAATGACTGTAACCACTATGGAAAACAATATGGGGATTCCTGAAAGAACTAAACTATATCTACCATTTGATCCAGCAATCCTACTACTAGTTATCTAATCAGAGGAAAGAAGTCATTATATAGAAAAGACGCTTGCACACTTTTTTTTATAGCAGCACAATTTGCAACTGCAAAAAAGGGAACCAGCCCTAAATGCCCATCAATTAACAAGTGGATAAAGAAAATGTGGTATTTTCTGCACCATGGAATACTACTCGGCCATAAAAAGGAATGAAATAATGGCATTCACAGCAACCCGGATGGAAGTGGAGACCATTATGCTAAGTGAAGCAATTCAGAAATGGAAAACCAAACATTGTATATTCTCACTCTTAAGTGGGCACTAAGCTATTGAGGATGCAAAGGCATAAGCAGGATAAAGGACTTTGGGGACTTGGGGAAGGGTGGGAGGTGGGTGAGGGATAAAAGACTACACATTGGGTACAGTGTACACTGCTCAGGTGATGGGTGCACCAAAATCACAGAAATCACCACCAGAGAACTTATCCATGTAACGAAATGCCACCTGTTCCCCCAAAACCTACTGAAATTTAAACAAAGTGATTCAGGAAAATTGAAATGAAAATCAAGAAATAAAATCACTTAAGTATATACCTCAATACAAACAGCTTATGTAGGGTTATCAAAGGCTCGTATGTCTTTGCCCTAAATTCCCCTAAACTAGCCTGTCACATCTTACAGAATAATGCCTAGGGGGAAAGTGAAGAGTTACAGGCTTACTGGCGTAAGTTTCCTTTCCCTATACAGAGAAACAGACCTAAAAAATTTGAAGATGCCTTTCAAAGTACCATAGAGATGTAAATTAAGAAACTGAGAAATTTTTCAGCACCTACCTTAAAAAATACATAAAATATTTTAGATATCAGAAATGTATAGAGAATGCCCACCACTCTGTGTACCTATCATTAATGGTGCCAAATCTTAATATGAACACTTTTTCATATTTGCTTCAGATTAGAAATTTTTTTTAGAGATTCAGTTGAAGCCTTATAGATACTCCTCCCCAATCCTGGTCTTCACTACTCCTCATTGGGTAACTATTTTTCTTCTGTTTTTCATTTCTACTTACAGTTTGTTTCTTAACAAAGACCAATCAGGATAAAAACCAATACTGTTGTAGTATTTTTCAGGTGAGCAAACTTACTTGTATTTAAGAATGCAGGCATGCATTTAAGTGTGGAATTTAATTCAGTTCTAGAACAATTCATCTTGCCCTAAGTAGAAATTGCTTCAGTCTTTCTTAGGTATGTAGAGCATTCATCCAGGTGGCCCAACAGGAAACCTGGAATTATTTTCTCCTCTGCTCTTTCCCTCATATAACGTGCTCCTTGCTAATCCAAACTCATTCTCGAATTTCTTCCCTATTCTCTATCCCCAGGACAACTGCCTGCATCAGCAGCGTAAATCCTCCTTGTCTAGAGTATTATAATGAGCCTCCCAACTGTTATTTTAACATCAATCTTGCCCTTCCCCAGGCTGAGTAAGTCACAAAGTTAGTTCATGGCCCTTCTCTACCTACAGACTGAAGTCTAAAGTCTTGAGTATGACTGTGGTAAGGTCTTTGTGATGATTTTCTGTGCTGAATATTGTGTCTGGCTCTCCAGGTCCACGCTCCTCTGCCCAGTGCTGAGGAAAGCTGAACTCTAGGGGTTGTATCCACTGGGCTTCCTTGCCCTCTGTTTGACCAAGGGGAGTGATGGGAAAGAGACTGGAGAGTGCAAAAAGAAATTGTGGCATGTATCCCTGGCTGCCTCTGTGCCAGGCTTCAGGTTGGTGGCGGCTGCATTCTTTTACCAGGGTCTCAGTGCTACAGCAGCTACAGCTATGGTTCTGATAAGGGCTCCAATCGCCTTGGCTACTTCAGGAGGCCCATAATGGCTTCCCCGCTGATGCCAGCTCTGGGGGAGGAGTAAGGGGAGAGTCCTCATTACCCCTTCCTGGTTTCCCATACCTTCTTTGAACTTCCTTCTTTATCCCTTTTGATGGGGCCATGGACTTTCTGTTCGTTTCTAATATTCCTATAACTCACTATTTTTAAAAACCAACCAAGCAATCAGTGTATGTTCTAGACATACCCCACATGCAAATCGATTCGTAAACATAGCGTCTCTTTCTTGACTTTGTCCATGGTATTTCTTCTAAACGGTGAGGCCCTTCCCCTCTCGGTCCTCTCACAATTAAGAGGTCCTTTTAAAATGTCTTCATGTGCCACTGTGTGAAGTCTTTCCTGCCTTACACTCCCGCACCTGAGAGCTGCTTCATGGCTGAGTTTCTCACTACGCGCAGCACCAGCACACAACTGCTCCTGCCTACTGCTTTCCTGGAGGGCGGGGCCTGTGTTTTGGTCAGCATTTTTCCCTAGCACACAGTATTTGACAGGCTACTGTTAGCTGTTTGTCAAGTAGAAGAAAGGAGGAAAGGAAACACTTCTGAGTTAGGCAGTATCAGGTAATTTCTAGATAAGGAAGCTGGCTCAGTACATTTACGCAAGGTAGATGCTGAGGGTGGTGCTGCCGAGTTCCTAAATGCTGAGTGACTTTCCTAAATGCTTAGCATCCAAACTTTTTCTAATCCTTTTAAAACTTATTTGAAAAAGGACATCTTTCCTTTTAATGCAATATATATACTGTAGTAGGATAAATTATTCAAGAGTCCATGAGAGCAATGAGAAAGAAAGATGGTAGGCCGCGCGTGGTGACTCACGCCTGTCGTCCCAGACACTCTGGGGGGCCGAGGCAGGTGGATCACCTGAGGTCAGGAGTTCGAGACCAGCCTGGTTAACATAGCAAAACCATCTCTACTAAAAATATAAACATTAGCCAGGCATGGTGGCATGTGCCTGTAATCTCAGCTACTCAGGAGGTTGAGGCACAAGAATCACATGAACCTGGGAGGCAGAGGTTGCAGTGAGCTTAGATTGCACCATTGCACTCAAGCGTGGGTGACAAAGAGACTGTCAAAAAAAAAAAAAAAGGAAAAAAAAGAAGGATGGCAGCATAGACAAGAAAAGCAACCCCTCTTCATGACTGAAGTACCTTCCATCTTCTAGCATGTATACATACACATACTGTGTGCACACATATACATAAAATAATTGTGTCTACTGTTTGTTGCTCAGTATCAGGAGGGCAGGATCTGTCTGCTTTGCTCACAAATGTATCCCATGTGCCTAGACCACCAAGTGGCACATACTAGACCCCTAGTAACTATTTGCTGTACAGATGAGTAGATGAAGAATGCTCTATAGCTCTGGAATTCTGTTCAATGTAGAGATACAACTTGGGGTCCACAGCAGGACTCCTCCTGTCCTAGCCTCCTCACTGGGCTGTTGTGAGGATTCCATGAGATGGCGCATAAGCTCACAGTACCTGACAGGTGGAAGTTCTTGGTGAATTGTCTCCAGCGGTGTCAGCACTGTTACCTGTCCCCCTGTACCCTCCCTTCAAGGAGGGGGTGCATCCTCACCAAGTGCCTGGAGATGCCCTGGAGCCTTGAGCCTATGCCCCTGCCCCCTCCCTGTTTTAATGTACTTATCATGCTTTTATCTTTTTGGGAAAGAAAGGAAGGAACACAGCTGGGAGGAAAGAAACGCTGGTGCTTGTGTTTTTTACTTTCCCAAGCATTCCCTGAGTCTTAAGTGTCAGCATTACATTATTATTATTTTTTTGAGACGGAGTCTCACTCTGTCACCCAGGCTGGAGTGCAGCAGCACAGTCTCTGCTCACTGCAACCTCCATCTCCCGGGTTCAAGCGATTCTTCTGCTTCAGCCTACCGAGCAGCTGGGACTACAGTCACCTGCCACCACATCTGGCTAATTTTTGTATTTTTAGTAGAGACAGGGTCTCACCATATTGACCAGGCTGGTCTCAAACTCCTGACCTCGTGATCTGCCCACCTTGGCCTCCCAAAGTGCTGGGATTATAGGCGTGAGCCACTGCACCTGGCTTTTTTTAAATTTTATTTTTATTTATTTATTTTTTGAGGTGGAGTCTCACTCTGTTGCCCAGGCTGGAGTGCAGTGACACAATCTTGGCTCACAGCAACCCCCACCTCCTAGATTCAAGTGATTCTCCTGCCTCAGCCTTCCAAGTAGTTGGGATTACAAGCACGCACCATGGTGCCTGGCTAATTTTCGTATTTTTTAGTAGAGATGGGTTTCACCGTGTTAGCCAGGCTGGTCTCAGGAGTTCAGGAGGCCCGCCTAAGCCTCCCAAAGTGCTGGAATTACAGGTGTGAGCCACTGCACCCAGTTAGCACTACATCTTGATACAGAAAGTGCCTTCTCTGTTTCTTGGTTATCTATACATGTATTCTCTCCCTGCTCCAAAGAGATTTGCCCCATATATTCCTGAGAGAAAGGATGGCATCTAATGGCGCCTCTCTGTATGTGGGCTCTAAGGGAGAACTTGTTGAACTGTATTGCTAGGCCACCTACCCTTTCTTCATTACTGGCATCTTCACCAAGGCCACTAAGGACGTTCTCAACACGGGCCAGACGCCCCGAGAGGGAGAGTAGCAGGTTGACCACCTTGTCCAAGTCCCCTATGAACATCCTGTACTTGTCAAACTCATTGGGCTTGCAGAGCTCGCTGATCAGAGCCTCCACCTCTTCTCCCAGGGCGTTGTTGAGCTTGATGTCCATGAGCAGGCTGCCCTTCGCCTCCTGGAGGGTCTCCAGCTTGTGGGTGAGGCTTCCAATGAGCTCAGCCTGAAATGACAGATGAGACCACAAAGATCAGCCAACAGGAGCTACCAGTGGAAGCAGGAGTCACCTCCCCCTAGCCACCTTCTGTCATCTTCAAGGCTCAGCTGAATACACTTCCCTGTCTCTATATGGGACTATCCCCCAACATTATGCCATAATAGACTTCTTTCCCTAAGGGTTTACCATTGCCTTTCTCTGAACCTCACGCGCCAACACTTGATTACAAGCAGCCTTGTAATGTTTTCCATTGTGTCATGCTATGTACAGCTTTGCCTTCCAACTGGTTTGTTAACTATTCTTTTTTTTTTTTTTTTGAGATGAAGTTTCACTCTTGTCTCCCAGGCTGGAGTGCAATGGTGCAATCTTGACTCACTGCAACCTCTGCCTCCTGGGTCCAAGAGATTCTCCTGCCTCAGGCTCCTGAGTAGCTGGGGATTACAGGTAACTGCCACCACCACACCTGGCTAATTTTTTTTTTTTTTTTTTTTTTGAGATGGAGTTTCACTCTTGTTGCCCACGCTAGAGTGCAGGGGCACGATCTAGGCTCACTGCAACCTCTACCTTCTGGTTTCAAGTGCTTCTCCTGCTTCAGCCTCCCGAGTAGCTTACAGGTGCCTGCCACCATGCCTGACTAATGTTTGTATTTTTAGTAGAGAAGGGATTTCACCATGTTAGCCAGGCTGGTCTTGAACTCCTGACGTCAAGTGATCCACCTACCTTGGCTTCTCAAAGTGCTGGGATTACAGGTGTGAGCCACTGTGCCAGGCCAACTACTCATTTTTAAAAGTCCTTTTAAGATATGTTCTCATTTGGTCCTCATGGTAATACCATGGGTAAGTAGGCAAGTAAACAGTATTCTCATTTTATGAATAGGCCAAGAGTCAGAGGAATTAAGGGATTTGCCCAAGGTCTCAGAGCTGAGTTGAATATTAACTGTGGCTACCATTTGTAGAGCAATTGATATGTGCTGTACACTATGGAGAAACTCTACATTGATTATGTTACTTAGCCTTCCCAGCAATCTTATAGTAGATGCTGTTTTATCTACCTATAATAAGGGAGGAAATGAAGACACTGTGAGGTGTAGTGATAGCCTAGACACATGAACCATGAACTCAAGTCACCCTCAGTTTAGGGGTCACCCTTGTACAATCAGTAGAAATAGTGACACCAGGCCAGGTGCAGTGGCTCACACCTGTAATCCCAGCGCCTTGGGAGGCCAAGGCGAGAGGATCATCTGAGGTCAGGAGTTCAAGACAAGCCTGGCCAACATGGTGAAACACCATCTCTAGTAAAAATACAAAAATTAGCTAGGCATGGTGGCGGGTAATCTCAGCTACTGGGAAGGTTGAAGCAGGGGAATCACTTGAACCCGGGATGTGGAGGTTGCAGTGAGTCAAGATCGCACCATTATACTCCAGCCCGGGTGACAAAAGCAAAACTCTGTCTCACAAAAAAGAAAAAAGAAAAGAAAAGAAAAGAAAGAAGGAAGGAAGGAAAGAAAAAGAAAGAAAGAAAGAAAGAGAAAGAAAGGAAAGAAAGAAAGAAGAAAAGGAAAGAAGAAAGAAAGAAAAGAAAGAAAGGAAAGAACGAAGAAAAGAAAGAGAAAAAAGAAAGAGAGAAAAAAAGAAAGAGAAAGAGGAAAAAAAGAAAGAAAAAGAAAGAAAGAAGGAAGAAAAGAGTGACACCAAGGCCTTTATCAGAAAGTCAGCCCCTTGTTATTATACCTGACCTGTGACCGGATACCAGAGCTGTGCAATTTGACACCTTAATCACAAATTTCCTTACTTATAAAATAGTTATGCAACTATCCAATATATTTAACTGAAGGAAAGAAGTAAATGTCTTAGTGGTCTTAGTGGCTTCTGGTTTGAATCCATTTATATTAAGTGTCTACTGCTGCTGTTGCACAACAGAAATTCAGCTCCGTGGTTTTTGTAATTAGTCTTTCATTTTTCTCTTGGCCTAAAATAGCTAGATGGAAAGAAGGTAATCTTTTTTGGTTAAAACTTATTCTTTTTTTAACCACTAAAAAGCTCCCAGTTCAAAAATTCTTCATATGTACACACATACACTATATAGATACACATACACATGCACATATATACACATGCACACCCCAAACTGGCTTCAACTGGAAATGTGACTAAACATAAAGGTTACAACTTCTATGTTGGAAGTATATGTCCATTTTAAAGGGGAAAAAAAAAAAACAGGAAAAACATTTTTGACCAACAGAATTGAAGGGTACTAACAACTTTTTGTACTATTTCTTCAACATCAGCACTAGAGAAGATCCATTAGGAACGTAATCACAATAGTTAGGGAAATATTTACTTCTCCACAATCTGCCCCTCTTGGAGCTGGACCATCAGAGGTACTTCACAAGTGAATGAAGTTCGTAATGTCCTTGAAATGTCTAGGTTCTGGCTTAATGGTACATCTTGTTTTCTCAATCTGCCTAATCCTAGAGGTTGCAAGTGGCTAAAACAGTCACATCTGCTGGACCAACTCATCAAAAGTTATAATCTTTGCTTTTACTCAAGCTGTTAAAATTGCTTAATATTAACTATTAAGTTTTCTTATCTTCTTCTGGAAAAATTCCATTTTCCAAAAAAGCAATTCTGGTTGGAAGCTATGGAATTTACCTGCAAGATAATGTTATGTACCTCTAGCAAAATATATAACATATCATGTAGCTCCAGCAAAATGGCTGGCAACCGATATCACTGTGATATCGGCTCATATGGAGAAAACAGCAAGGATACTGGAATGCAAAGCAGCAGGAAAAATAAACTGCCTGCTGTTGTGTCTCCCAACATTCCTGCTGGACTGGGTTAAGTAAGTCAAATGTCATCATTCCTGTTTTTCAGATAGATAATGAGAGAGAATGTCATCTATGTGAGGTCAGCCCAGGAATTCTTAACTCATAGGGTACATTTCCTAGGCTTGTCACTCTAGATGTTACTGGAAGATACTTAAAGACAACCAGGCTATACCAAATCCAAAGAGATAGTTACCAGGGCAAAACATTCTTATCACTCTACCCTCAGGAAAAGGCCTTTTGGTTCATTCAGATTTCAGGCGTCCATTTCAACCTCATGTCCCGAGAAGTAGAATTTCTAGCATGTCTAGAAAATGCTTTTTAAAAACTAAATAGTGGAAAGAAACAAGGTAGTTTTTTTTTTTCCCCCAACCTGTTTTTCATTATTTCTATTAATGACTTTTTTTGAAACTAGTACTGTGTGTTGTCATTTCTGGAAGGAACTAAAACACTTATTAAACTATTAAGTATTTTTTGTGGCCTCACTGTATTTAAAAATCCTCCTATGGCTCTCAGATGGTTTTTAAATTTTATTTTGAGATGAAATTTCGCTCTTGTTGCCCAGGCTGGAGTGCAATGGTGTGATCTCGGCTCATTGCAACCTCTGCCTCTCAGGTTCAAGTGATTCTCCTGCCTCAGCCTCCCGAGTAGCTGGGATTACAGGCATGCACCACCACACCCAGCTAATTTTGTATTTTTAGTAGAGACAGGGTTTTACCATGTTGGTCAGGCTGGTCTCAAACTCCTGACCTCAGGTTGTCTGCCTGCCTTGGCTCCCAAAGTGTTGGGATTACAGGTGTGAGCCACCGTGCCTGGCCAGAGGCTGGTATTTTAAAGGACATGTGTGAGGCTTATCAATTTGCAAATGAGCAGAAACCAAGGATAAGTAGTTGCTCTCACATGTGTAGGTGAGTGATGAGAGGAGAGAACTCATCCTTTCAAATTTTCTGCTAAACTCAGCTCAACAGCTCTTCCCAGCACCTACGCAGGTCAGCAACACTGCAGGGGTGGCTCTGAGGTGAGCAAGGTTCAGTAGGCTGGAGGGGTCAAAAGAACTTTAATCCACCTGAATTACAATCAGGGTTTAGATACAACCATCCAATCTACCCTATCTTTCCTTCCCTGACCCTGTTTTGCTTTTCAGAGACATCAGTGCTGGGCAGAACCATAAATAAATCTGTCATAGGCAGTGTGGTGATTCCTCAAAGATCTAGAACTAGAAATACCATTTGACCCAGCAATCCCATTACTGGGTATATACCCAAAGGATTATAAATCATTCTGTTATGAAGACACATGCACATATATGTTTATTGTGGCACTGTTCACAACAGCAAAGACTTGGAACCAACCCAAATGCCCATCAATGCTAGACTGGATAAAGAAAATGTGGCACATATATACCACAGAATACTATGCAGCCATAAAGAAGGATGAGTTCATTGTCCTTTGCAGGGACATGGATGAAATTGGAAACCATCATTCTTAGCAAACTGACACAGAACAGAAAACCAAACACCGCATATTCTCACTCATAAGTGGCTGTTGAACAATGAGAACACACGGACACAGGGAGGGGGGCATCATGCACCAGGGCCTGCAGGGTGGGGGGACTGGGGAGCGATAGCATTAGGAGAAATACCTAATGTAGATGGCAGGGCAATGGATGCAGCAAACCACCACCATGGCACGTGTATACCTATGTAACAAACCTACACATGTACTCCAGAGCTTAAAGTATAATAAATAAATTTTTAAAAAGAATCTGTCATAGGAGCATGTGTGTACCCCAGGCTTCACGGTACAAGAAAGAACAAAATGAGGTGAAAATGTATAAGAGTGATGCAGGGAGGCTTTGTGAAAAGAAGCATATACATTTCATGGCATTCTGATTTCAGAAAGCTATTAATATTTACTGGGCTGTAATGTGCTATCTCACAGCTCAGCCATAGATGCTAAGGCCAGAATTACTGAGTGGTCACATCAGTCACTCCTGGCTGAATGTTCCTCAGTTAGGTGGCATTTGAATTTTTTGAAAACCCTACCCAAATTGAAAATTTGAATTTAAAAATGCAGTTAAGAGAGATTTGAGAAACTGACAGCAACAAGGGAAAGCTGGCTGTACTAAACAGCCATTTCTTTGCTAGGCAGATCTCTTCCAAAAAACCTACCAATTTCT